GGAAAAAGAAAACAAAAATTGATGGTTTCTTTGTTAAGGTTTTGTTGCAACTGGTGGGCTTTTCTCATGATATTGCTGTCTCTGCTTGTATTGTAATCAGCTAGTTCTGGCAAATTGATTGAAATATTAGTAATATTGCCCCATTTATACTTTCTCTTTTCTTCAATTTTGTGCACTTTTATACTGTTTATACTAGTTCTAGCAGTAATTATTGGCTCAACAACCGGTACAAATACTCAGGACATTCAATATTTAATAGACTTTTTTTTTTTTTTTATCAAAACGGCAACGCAGTTCAATATTTAATAGACTTGTCCTAGGGGAAAAATGTTTGATGGTTATGGACAGGATGTGGACAGGATGATAGCATTATAAATGTGATTACGGTGATGCATCACTATTTGTTTAATCAGCAGAGATTATTGACCTTAATACACCGTTGTACTACAATAATTTGACGTACTTATTATGATTTAAAAAAAATTAATAATGAGTTGTACTATGACATATAAAACATTTTGCAGAAGCCCTACGCCATCTTGTTATGCAGGTGAATATGTAGTTTGAGATCTGTTCCCGCACACTTTTCTGCAAAAGTCATGTTTAGATTTGGATGCAACTGAAGATGGCCCTTTCGTCTTCTTGTATGGGGATATTCTCAGCATCTGGGAAAGGCAGCAAACATATTCCGCAATCAGGGCTGTGGTATCATTGTTCCAAATTCAATTATGTTATCATTTCAGACTCCAAATCCCCTGTATTACATATGATTTACAAGACATTATTTGATTGCATCATATACACGTTTTTTAATTAATTTATTTTTTATCTCACATACACTATCACAAAAGTAGTAGAATTAATCTTTTATACACTGATAGTGTATACACTTTCATTATTGGATGTCTGACATATAATTCGAATTTGAATTTGAAACTCAAATTTTGTATATATGTAGTGTATTCAATCATGATAGTGTACACACTATTAGCGTATATAAGATTTACTCAAAATATTATATTGTTGTTTCAAAAAACTTATAATCCTCTTTCCAAACATACTAAGACTGTCATTGTAGTACATTAGGTGATATGTCACCCTTCATTTTTGGCATATGACTAAGTATGCACTTAAAATCTGACTAATCTGTCATTGTAGCTATGATAAAAGATGTGTGACACTTGCGTTTAATCTGAAGAATCTCTAATTGGCAAGCCTTATTAGCACATCTATAGCTGGCATATAATATACTTTCTGATGCTACACTAAAATATCCACCAAACACCGACAATCAAGGCTGTGGTATCATTGTTCCAAATTCAATTATGTTCTCATTTCAGACTCCAATTCCCCTGTATTACATATGATTTACAAGACATTATTCGATTGCATCATATACACGTTTTTTAATTTACCTTTTATTTTTTTATTTCACATATAGTACATCACAAAAGTAGTAGAACTAATTTTCTACACGCTGATACTATATACACTTTCACCATTGAATGCATGACACATAATTCAAATTGGAATTGAAATCCAAATTTTTCATATATATCGTGTATCCAATCGTGATAGTGTATACATTATCAGTGTATATAAAATTTATTCAAAGTATTATATCGTTGTTTCAGAAAACCTTTCCAACTGTCATTGTAGTACATTAGGGTGGTATATAACCCTTCATTTTTGGCATATGATCAAGTATGCACTTAAAATCTGACTGATCTGTCATTGTAGCTATGATAGAAGAAGTGAGACACTTGCATTTAATTTGAAGAATCTCTAATTAGTAAGCCTCATTAGCACATCCATAGCTGGCATATAATATACTTTCTGATGCTACACTAAAATATCCGCCAAACACCGACAAATCCAAGCACCTTAGGTCGAAGAAAAGGTTCAAAACGTGAACAAAAAAATCAAGAAAGAGATCAATGGCATCAATTGAGGTTGAATGGAACAAAGGTAAATTATTCAAGATGACTTGGTAGGGAGTCAGAAAGACAAAGACCTGTCATTGTACGTGCAACCACACATACAAATTTGTCAAAATTTTCAACTTGACTCAAATCATGAGACAAAAAGATGGGTAAAATAGTGAAATAATTTATTCGCCAAACACCTTTCATCCAAGAAATTATATATTGAACCTACCAATGATACGTTGACACGATTCTTTAACTGGCATTGGCCACAGCCAATAATATTTGCGTAATTTTGTTTGTTGTCCACATTATGTCTTCATTTTCCTCGTTTGGGGGGACAGAGGTTGAACTTTCATGGCTGCTGTTTTGTGATAAATGATGTTGCTTTAAGGAACTTTTGCTGTTTGCTTTACTGGGATTTTCTGTTTGATACCTTCTCAATCCCTCTCCCTTTTCCTAGTCCGACCAATGTATTAAAAGAATCAAGAAACCATCAATGACCTGCATAACATGTTATCTGTTACTAATAGATCAAGATGGCATAGCTAACAACACAGGCAACACTCATGCTCTTGCACCCTGAAGGAATTACAAGAAGTAGCATTAGTTGGAGAAATCATGTTGTTCGGGAAATTTAAGAGCCAATGTTGTCTACTTGATCAACCAATTGGATTAACTAATTAAAATTACAATTGCAACTTGTTTTTTTCCTTGTTCTTTTGCTATAGATACTGTAGAAATAAATTCTGTATAATCAAAATTTTTGGTTTATGTAACAAATGTCAGCTTAGACTTACTTTTCTCCGAAATTCAACTTGACAAGTATTTTTGTTTTACAACTTGACATATTATGCTCATGTTCCGAACTTAATCATAACTACTGATAAGTTATATATAGCCTATACAATAGTGGCCTTAACATGTTACAAATGGAGAATTGAGTCGGATAATGAGTCGAAAGAGACGATAAGTAGAAATGTTTGAAATCAAAATCTCTCAGTTAAAAAAAAAAGAAAGAAAGTAGAAGTTACAACTATAAAATCGACAAACACATACGTAGAACCTATAATGAATTACACAATCAAATAAAGTAAATGCATTGAGCAACAATATTCCTCAAATATTTAATTGTCTGTAATAATTACTACATAATGAAATTTAATCACGAAAGTAAAAAAAAAATAGAGAGAAAGAAAAATCAAGAGTCAAGTGGGAGAAGAAGTTTGAAAATAATAGGTTATAGTAACATTTTTGTTTGCTCCCTTGACGTGATTGGAGGGACGGTGACTAATGACGGCGGTGGCTGGCGCAAGTTGCTGGTGAATGAATTGTGACGGGGACGATCGGTTCTAAATTTTATGCTATTTGGACGGCCTTAAAATTTTCTTTTTTTTAAAAAAAAAAAAAGTATTTTGGCTGGGAGGGAATTATAATCCCAATGCAAAAATGAGAAGCCAAATTTAATTTCATCTTTGTATCTTTAGCTTGAAGACTACATACAGTTTTAAATTTTTTGATGATTTTTGTTTTGTTCAAGAGAGTAAAAAAAGGAAAAACTTGAAAGTTGAACAAAGATCTCTGCGGTCATCTGACTAAAATATCTTTACTAACTATTTTTTTGATAATTTACTAATTCAATTTAATAATTTGGTACCATAATTTATAATGTCGAGCATGTCTTTTACAGTATGAACCAACTATTGTAGACATAAATTATATATATATATATATATATATATATATAAATAAGTCCAAATTGTAAGTATATAATATATGTCACAAATGTTGGTTGGGTCCGTACACCACACGGGAAAGAGTGATTCTGCTAGATATAAGGGATAATTTCAGAAACCTCCCTTGAGGTTTCTGAGTATTTGATTGCCCTGCCTTCAGGTTTTAAAAATTATATTAACCTCCCTTGAAATTTATTATTTTATAACATTTAGGTCTAACAAACAATTAAAAAGTGATATTAGGAGAGAGAAATAATATGATTGTACCATTGTCCTTCATCTACTAAATTGTTTAATTAACCTAGTATCAACCCAAATATTAAAGAAAACACTAGAATTTGTTGTTTATCATTCGAGATCACATGTGGCACAAAAAATAGTATATCATTCTATATATTTCATTTAATATAAGATCGAAATTGCCCTTTTCAGTTACAAATCCATTGTCAAACAAGATCAATAATAAATAATCAAAACAATCTATAACCAAAATATTGAAAAGAGTGAAATGTAATATCATAAAAATCTCAGCGACTAACCTTAATATATTGAAAAGAATATTTATGATGTTAAAGTTTGTTCTTTATAATATTTTGGTTGCATTTTTTTTTATTTGTTATTAATTGTGTTTGACAATGAGTATGTAATTGAAAAGAGAAATTTGGATCTTATATTAAGTGAAAAATATAAAATGATATACTATTATTTGATGCTATATGTGATTTTATCCCTAATGATAAACAACAAATTGTAGTGTTTTTCTTTAATGTATGTGTTAGTGTTAAATTAATTAAATAATGTAGTAGATGAGGGACAATGATGGAATCATATTATTTTCTCTCTCCTAATATCACTTTTTAATTATTGGTTGGATTTAAATGTTACAAGATAATTAACTTCAAGGGACGTTAGTGTAATTCTCGAAATCTAGAGGGAGGTCAGTGAAATAGTCAGAAATCTCAAGGGAGGTTTCTGAAATTATCCTACAAATTTGAGCTAACTTATTGTAATCTGATTATCCTGCTCTGCAACTCCAAGATTTATGTGTCACGAAAATTTTACTAGTTTTAGGTTCAAGTCTCACCAAACGTGGTTAATCGTTAATCGTGAATTAGATTGTAATGTTGTTGAAAATTGTGAGTTATAACTTAATTTTATTGCTCGAAAAGCCTGAAGAACAATAATATGTTTCGAGCAGCACGAATTAGGCTCAATATTGTCCAAGAGAATGATCAGAGCACAAAAAACGTTACAATCTCAAGATAAATATTACTTATATATAAACTCGGAGGATATCAATGTCTGAACTAGTAATTAAAAGGTGCACATTTTCGATTTCTGTTCTTGAGTTTTAGAAGGCATTCAACAAAAACGTCAAGAAACCAGCTGCCAGCACCAGCACAGTTGATTGAGCAGTTTTCAGCGCCCCATTTTTCTTGGGACTTTCTGCTTCTGCAGATGCACATTCAAGGCCCTGGGCGCCATCCTTGCAAAAATTCGCAAAAAGTCCAGGAGGATAATGTCCATACATGTTAATGTAACTGAACATGGTTGATGCACAATCGTTTTTCATGTCATTCACTTGATCAGCAAAAGGGCAGGCGAATTCCTTGAAGGCATCGCAGCAGAGTTTTGGAGAGTAATTCGGCCCTTTGCATTGGCTAGTGATGATTGTGTAGTTCTGAGCTTCAAAGTTTACAGGGCAAGCTGAAAAGTTTCATGATTGCAGAAAGTTTTAGCATACATTTTCCAAGAATTTTCAGTGTTCAATAATTCTTGTAGAATGGAAGGCTTAGCTATTAAATAAAACTTTTCCTTTTCTCTTTTGTTTTCCTGATAAGGGCATGTAGAAATGACCACCTATGGTTCTTTAGGCAGAGAAAAACAACTTGAATTATGTCAATCTTGAAGAAACATGGATAGATCACTAAAATGGTAATTTTTCTGTTCATGCAGTTATCTGCATTCATATGCTTTTTTTTTTCTGATATTATGAATTTTTTTAACTTAAAGTAAATTGTTTCTCCACATGTAACCGAACCTAGTTGGATTCTTTTAAACATAAATAATGAAAAGAATGTAGGCAGCATATGAGTTAATTTGTTGGAATGATTTACCTAAGTGAAAGAAATGCAAGATTGAAGCTAAATCCATGGATAACATGTAGAAGTATTAACTTTATTGCTCATAATTTAGGAGGACTAAGAAATTCTGTAGAATTAACTAACATTCAAAAGGATATAACAAAGGAATAATTCTGGGATTCAGAAATTTAAATTTTAAGATGTCAAAATAAAAGTTTAATCAAGGATGCCCTCACAAGGAACAACCATGAAATTGTGGCAAGGATAAAAATGATTTTGAAACTTAATTTATTTCTTCATTCCCAACAATATCCAGGGTGCAAAAATGAATAAAGGAGAGAAAGAATCTCACATGCTTTTGCTTGAAGAAGGGTACGACCTCTCAATCCGCTAGGCTCCAATGCATGATCTAACATAGAACGAAAGTTTCAGATATATTAAACAGAAATTAGATTAGAAAAAAAAAATCAACATGGTATACATAAATGCCATAACAATTCTCACTTGAAATGTAGGATGAAGAGGCCAATCCAACAAGAAGAAAGAAGAGAAACAACATTAGAGATGGATTAGACCCCATTGTTTCTCTTCTGTTCAACGATCAGTTTTGTCCAGTCTCGTTATGAAAATGGTGAAAAAGAAAGAGACAAGAAAATGTTGGAATGTAGCAGCTGCCTGCATCTGTAGGGGTGTCATTTTTGTGGAAAGTAAAAAAATGGCAGGAAAATGGAAGAGAGAGAAGCGGAGAAGGGATGGAAGGGGATGAATGGATGGATGGAGGAGGAACCTTGTTTGGCAGTAGCAAAGAAGTATATTAGTTGTTGGATACGTGGGGAATCCCTCTTTTGTTTTATTTGGTTAAAAACTTCTAAACAAGGATCATATTGACATTTTGATTTTCGGGCCAGTTTATAATACTTTCAATCCATTTTTGTATCACTCTTTTATGCATCAGTTACAATAAATTATGTATATTTTTTTTAACGTCAATTTGATATTCGTTTCGGCAATTCTTATACAGGTAAACAACTTATAGTGTCACATAAATATATAATTTCAATACATTTTATACAAGTTCTTTTATTATTATTATTATGCATGATTGATGATAAATTAGGCATATTTTAGAATTATCTTATGCCCATTAGCCTTAGTTTGAAAGTTTAATTTCGAAACTCTATGCAAGTCTTGTGCTAATACAAATTTGTACCAATGCATCACAAAATTTCAACTTTTGTTATATACTTTGCTATGTTTCTACGTTCTTATGCTTATTATCCTCAATTTTATCTTTCTTTAGTGTAAGTGGAAGGACTTGAATTCGCAATCTCGCACTTACACTCGTTCCCTCTGAACCATCTAACCCATCTCTTCCCCCAATTAACCTCAATTGGAAATAAATTAATGGTGCAATTCAAGGTTAATAAGAGGTGATGGTGGTGAACCGTTAAACGAATGCATAGTGAAAGTTTAAGGTAGATAATATTCATGGTAATGAAGTTTGTTTGTATTAATACACCATCCCAATTTTATAAATAACTTCGATTAATTTCCTAAAAACATAGTAGTGGACAACATTATACTGATCATGTAAACTTCTTGCAAATAAATGCAAATAAAGAAAATGATGAAAATGCAAATAAAGAAAAAATTAGGGGGGGGGGGTCAAACTTCTTGCAAACTTCTTGAATGATGAAAAAATACAATTAATAAAATAATTTAAAATAATTGGAATCGCCCTTAGGAGAGTATCTGGTCCGACACTATATAAAAATGATCCGGGTATATATTAATTTTATTAATTTAATATTGTGTGGACATATTATATATCAAGAACGGAAAGTGCGGATATGGTCGAATGGTAAAATTTCTCTTTACCAAGGAGAAGACGCGGGTTCGACTCCCGCTATCCGCCCAAAATAAATTAATATGATAAAGTAAAGAATTTGTTATTATTGGACAGTTTTCATTTCCTTATTCATCCCTACACTAGTATTAGTATCCATTAATCATAATTTGATCCTAAATTTTTGTATCAATTGACATTTATATGTTGTCATTTTACCACTTTTTGGTGCACATCTGGCAAACTTCACAAGATACCCCAATGCATAGGCAAAATTTGGATATAAACTCCACTGAACTTTTAGCATACATGAACCATTTTGTCTCGCTTGTTAACAAACAGTTTGATAATGAAAGGAAACACAGGCCACCATTTCTTCCATCCATCTTTAACCCAAACTCCATAATTAACTTCACTTTATCATTCAGAGCCAATAATACATTAATTCTTTCTATCAGTCTTTTAATCCGTAAGACTAAGAGTAGCAGGACAGCCAAATATAGGACTAGTTCAAGAAACTAAATTCTTGAGATATAATCACGTAAACATACATCAGTGAGTTCAGAATTGAAATACATTATACATACAAGCAAAATGGTTCCTTTTAACAAATCCAAAGCATAATAAATAGCTTGCTTTCAAGTTCAAAATGTGGGAAAAGCGAATACCATATTTTTTCGATCATCCGCTTTGCGTCCAAGTACTTAGCATTGCATCACAACCATCTGGCATATGTCCAAAAACGTGTCTGAAATTTCAGCATCAAAACATTGTGCAAAAAAATCTGAATCTGTATAGTCTGATAAAATCACTGCCCGGCCACCGAAGTTCTTTGATCTCAGTCACTTTGTATTTCCTTTCTGTAATACTAGAAATTAGCAAGGATCTCACCTCTTATAACCTAATCAGTTAGTATGCAGGCGCTGCCTCAATTGAAGGGAAAAAGTCTCCGCCAAAATTGTAGAAGAAATGCTTGTTTCTAGCAGAGGTTGCTGTAATGTCTCTCCTTTCGGCTGATGGACCTCCCCATACGAAGTCTTCGAGCTGTAAGTGATTCAAACAGAATCTCTAAAGCATCTTCGATAGCTTCAGCCTGACTATCCAGTCCATGAGAGCTGAACTCAGGAACAAGATGAAGCTCATAAAGGAGACCAACTGCTGCTGCTGCTGTGCAGGTACGGTCCCATGAGGGTTGTGGTCTGCTATCAGACAAGAAAGAAATTGAACCTTAATCGCGGTGGCATTAAATTGGCAAACAAGAATAAACTATTAAAGCATGCAAGTCAAATATATCACGAGATGAGCATTTGCATGAAGAATCTTGCCTAAGTTTGTGCATTAGAGATACCCCTGCATTCAGAGAGATGCAAGGAAGGTCTTCTCCCCAAACTACCTGTGCTTTATCCTGCACATCAATGTTCAAGGTAAATGTTGAGTAGGATGCACTACTACATCACTAGACTGATCCATACAACGCTCATCTTTTGCAATGCAGCATGAAATTGGAAAAACAGGATCCTCAAACTGATTTTTTGCTTGAGATGTGTCTGATATTTGATACCCATAAACACTCTTAGGCATAGTTCAAATACCGCATGTGTCAATAACTTGAAAACAAGAGTCAGATTCGTAAATATACATTGGGTATTACAAAACAAACAAGCGAAGCCAGTCGAGTTACAATCTACCAAATCCACAAAGTATATCCACAACAAAAATGAAGATATATATGTATTGAAGAGAAGCATGACAAAAACTTGTAACTAATTCATTCAGAGAAGAACTACTTTACTTTCTTGTAAGATTCAACATTTCATGTGTACCTGCTTGCATGTGTCGTATTTATAACTTGGAACTGGTGTAACAGGAAACAAATTTGCTTAATTAGAAGGTAATTCATAACCTCTATCCATTTATGTCCACCAAAGGAATGATGGGATTTCAAAACTACATATTACAGAAGAGTTTCAGAATCTGTGGCACTTCCAGATGTCAAGGCATTTAATTCTTACTGTTGTTGTAAATGAACTATTTACTAGGAACCTTTCCATTTCAAAGTGAAAACACATATGCTTATATCTGTATAACTTAACTCAAGAAAAATATATAACCTACAAGACAATGAACTTGTGGTTGCTCCACTAGATTTCTTTCCTCTTTTCCTTTTTCTTGTCTCCCATCTGAGACAAGAATGCTTAGTCATAGCCCCATGGACGTGTGATAGAAAATAAAAGGAGGTCAGACCCCAATTGTATTTCTGGTTTACCTTTAAACGCTTGAACATTGCTTGGGAATTGCTCCATGTACCATCAATCAAAATAAAATTAATTCTTTCATCTCCAAGTACCTGCATAGTCACACAACCTTCAAATCAATATCCTAGAAGAGTCAGAAGAATTGAAGGTTAACGTATTGAAACGAAGCCAGTCTTCTTTGTATGGGCTAAAGTTTAAGCTACCTGAACACACAGACAAAGGGGCTATAAGCATTCAATGCGTGTGAGGGCAGGAATTCATAGACACATATAAGTAGAATCTTCAACTTACCAATCCACTTTTGTCCACCCAAACTAGTCAGGACTTGACACTCCATTTTTTGAGGAATAGAAAATTGAATCTTTTGGAATTAAACCATGAACTAAAATTAGGGGACTGATCAAATACCAAGCTCCGATGTGGAAATCTGAATATCTTGCACATATACTGCATTACTTAATTCTGTACGCTCAACTAATTCGACAAATTTGAGGACGTCAGCCTGAATGATATTCATGCTTCTTTATATCTAAATTTCGTGCTAATCCAACAGAAACAGAATGTGGCACTCAATTAATCCTCTCCATCTCCTCCCTATGACCAAAGATGCGTAAAACCACAAAAAGATAGGCATCCATAATCCATTTGCGAGAGTTGAAATCACATAACTTTTTTTTGGGGAAATGGTAAGCTTTAATATAATTCAAAAGTAGGGAAGAACCCAGTAAATATACATATGAGTTCTCGGGAGTAAATCTAACCTCTATGAGTTAGAGTTACCTTCCTATCATCATGTAAAATTTTTACTAACTCTATGGGATAACTACAATTGAAAACTTCAGAGCCTAAATCAAATAACTGTTTACAATGCCAAAACAGTACACTATTACAGAGCATTGTGTTAAGATGTCGTCTTCTCTTATAATGTTATAATTTTCTGATATAACTTGAGCATATTTTCTTAAGTTTAAGATGTTATTATCTCATGTGACACTTACGATAGGTATATCCTAAACAAACAGAACATTTACTGACAAGGACTCTAAAAAATGTACCGGGTTCAAAGATTCTTGATATTGAGCACTTCTGTGGCTTCAGAAAATTTCATGAAAATATTCAGTTGAATTCAAGGTTGCAAGTATAGTAAACAGTTAAATTGAATAACATGTAGTATTCACGAAGTAGATCACCATTTACTGTAAAATCATCTTTTGTTCATCAACATCAAATTTCTTAGATAAATCAATTTATTCTCCTCTCCAAAAGTTTAAATTGCTTCAATGAGCTAATGTAACCAACTAATTACACAATACTGTACTTCATGCACCTATGCAGTTCCAAACCTAGAGTCACATAAAACTTTCACATTCCAACTTGCACAGTCAGCTAGAACAATTTTTGTTCAGCACTAAATTTCTATTTATGTGCATCAAATCAGCAAAGGACCAGAAAAAAAAATTACAATGATACAAAACTCATA